AAAGGGATTATAGAAGATGTCTATCTCAGTGTAGATGGATGATTGATAAAGAGGGCTCGTTGTACGGTTATGATGAACAATTCAGTACATGGCAAATGTTTTCCATGATAACAGAATCGATAAATTCAACTGTGTATTGTCCACAAAAATCAAGCAGAAGAAAAAATAATCAAAATTTTGTTTAATATATTATCTAGTGCATTCTAATACTTCAAATTATTAAATATTCAGCGAATGGTCCGACTCATCTTTGACATATTTGAAAATTTATTACATAATCATCTATCTTTTGGTTTATTTAGGAGGAAACATATATAAACATTTGACAAATATCTAGCAGCCTATCGTTCAAGAAATAATTAAAAAAAGAAATAAAATTATTTACTAATCATAACGATAACCCTGTTTTCTTCCAATTCCAAAGTCGCTTCGATGAATTCGGGCCTAACCCGTTTTACGTACAAATTTTTATACGAACGACTTTAGTTGAAACGGCGGCAAAATTCAAAGGTAACTACCTCAAGAAGGTGCTGGAGTCTGTGACACAGGTTAGCGATATCGACGCCGTAATTGAGCAAGCCGATGAAGCCCACCGGCTCTTTTCCGGCACCAAACCTGTTGCCAACCTCATCAATTTGTAAGCCCCAACCCACTTACTAATGTGATTGTGTTTATAGGTTTTGTTTTTATTTAGAAATTATATCCGTTTATGTTAATTTGATTATGTGTGGGTGTTATAATGTGATTTATTTAGCAGGGTAAGCGTTCATGCTGTTCTGATGAACTTTTTTCTTTCCCTTTCTTATGGGTTTTGGTGAAGGGAAATAAAACGGTCGTTTTGCTTCTTGTCGGAGGCTTACCGTGATTGGAGGGGTTTTTTTGGGCCTTTTTCTGTGCTCTTAAGTGCTTCATAAATGCATGTGTACAGTTGATGAATTTCCTCGTTAACATTAAAGAATTAGTGCTCAATGTGAACTGAGGAGGTGAAAATATAAACAAAGGAAATTGAAAAGGATTTTTTTTTTCCCATTTGGTTTGTGTGGGAATCAAGAGAGAACTGGCTAAAAGAGTGAAATTAAGTTTATAAATTTATGAGCTACTTTATGGTTTTTGAACTTGTTCTTTTACACATAAGTGCGTACGCACTAAGAGAGACAAATAACTAAATTTGGGCCTGTTTGGTACAGATTCTCATTTTCTACAGTAAATCAATTCTCATTTTCAACCACACATTCTTCAACAAAATAATATTTTCCATCACATCAATAACTTTTCCTTCTTTTTCAACCACACATTCTCCATCAATCTACTATTCTAAACTACATTCTTCCAAAATAATTTGGCTCAAACACACCCCTAATTTCAATTCTTATTCTCAAAAATCTCTACCAAACACACTCTTGGTTTTATTTTAGTTTCAGGGAAGAAATGAAGGGGAAATTATTTATCTTTTCACTTTACATGTTTCTTGTTTTCTTCACGGAGTTCATGAATTATAAATGCAGAATTTGGGTATCTGTTCTTTGAGTCACTTTCTTGAGACCTACATTATTTGTACATCTAGTTAGTCGGTGCAGATGGTTGTCTTCAGCTAGAAGTTCTAATATTTTTCTGTCCTTTATTGCTTTGGTTTTCTTTATCCTGCATGTATGCTTATGTTTTTTCCTTAGGCTATTTTTATTTTCTGTACATATTATTGTAGTATATTTTAAATGTTGTCTTCTTATCAATAAAAAATTTGCGTTAAAGGGACTCTGCTTCTAGCACTTCTCAGATGACTCCTGGGGAGAGGAGGGAGCAACTGAAGAATGAGGCGGCATTGCATGCTAGTAGTCTTCGTGTTCCTTGCAGGCATATATTTTTTCTTCATTAGAAATTACTTTTATTATTTGTTACTGAATATAAGGTTTGTAATTCTACTTCTTTTCCAGGTCGCCATGGAATGCTAAAATGTCTGCACAAGAGCTTGATGCCAATGAAAGACAAGCTTTTCTATCTCGTGGCCGACGGCTTGCTAGGTCAGGCTTTCTGACATAAATTTTGGTTGGGATTTATGGAACGAAATCAAGATTGAATTTAGACATTCTTATAACTTGTCATATAATATGGTTCCTTTGCTTCTTATTTCCTTTTATTGGAATAAGCAAATAATTTCATCTTTGTTCAAATTAGGGTGCTACCTGTGTTAGGCAGGATAAGAAATGGGAGATGTATGTCCTAAATTGGTAGAATTAGAATAGTTAGTTGGAGCTAGATAAATGGATACCTGCATCTGTTTTATAAATATGTACTTTATTTGGTGATCTCATGCTTTGTGCTTCTAATGATATTGGTTTGTGGCATATTCATCTAAGATGTTTCTGCATTTTCTTCTAGTGTATTTGGAAATCTGTTTTGGTTTTTATTGTGCGTAAATTTAAGTTTAATGATTTGAAAAACTCATCTGCTTCCCATTTTATTTTAGACATTTTGTGTTTATCATTGCAAATTGACCCGTGCACACTTGAGGAGAATGAAAAGTTGGTCCTTACTCCATCTGAAAAGAACCTAGATATATGGCGACAGCTTTGGAGGGTGGTTGAACGCAGTGATCTGGTGAGAGAATGATTTCTCTAAGTTCTACTATTGAAATTGTTTTAATACACACTGTTAATGGGATAAGTTAACGTATTTTGGGACGACTTCAGAACATACTGATTGCTTAATGAAAGTGGTACTTGGGACCAGCATTATTACTTATCCTCGTTCCTTCAGTTTTCAATTTTGTAATGTGTTTTTTACATTATGTAATGCTGATCTCTCTCTCTCTCTCTCCCCCCAAACATCTTGTAATGGTCGCTGATGCACGAAACCCGCTTTTTTATCGCTGCTCTGATCTTGAGGTAATACTGGAGATATATTTCTAAAAAAATTGCATAGGGTATTATAATAATAGTATAAATAATGGGATTATCAGGTATGGAACATCTCCATTTTGCCTATTATTTTGGAGGATGAGATCATATGGCATCATATAATATGACTCTCACAGTATGTCGCATTCAGTTTTGTTCAAAGAATTATATTAAGCCCTTGTTTGGCCCCCATTAAATTTTTAAAAATTAAGAAAGAGAAAAATTTTAAAAATTTTATGGGGGCCAAACAAGGGCTTAATATAATTCTTTGAACAAAACTGAATGCAACGTACAGTGAGAATCGTATTATATGATGCAAAAGAAATTGATGAACACAGAAGAACATTCCTTTTTGTCAACAAGGCAGATCTTTTGCCATTTTCTATTAGGTTAATGTTGGAATTAGGCCTTGGCTATTACCTTTCAGCGTTTCTTATTTTTAAATAGTAAATTTGATGCTTGGTCGTTGACAGAGACAAATGGGCAAACTATTTCCGCAAACATGGGATTCTCTTTCTTTTCTGGTCGGCTAAGGCTGCTTCTGCATCTCTGGAGGGGAAAACACTCAGTTACTCCAATGGGATGCAAAGTAATCTGCATGGGCCAGTTGATGCTGATACAAAAATATACGGCAGGGATGATCTTCTCGTCCGCCTGAAATCTGAAGTGGAGGAGATAGTTTCGATGATGAATGGATCGAGATGACAAGATCTGATATCGGAACCTCAAACAGTGTGGTAGTTGGATTTGTTGGGTATCCTAATGTGGGGAAAAGTTCAACAATTAATGCTTTGGTAGGGGAAAAATGGACAGGTGTTACCTTGACTCCTGGGAAGACGTAGCATTTCCAGACATTAATAATATCCAATAAACTTACTCTCTGTGATTGCCCTGGATTAGTGTTTCCATCCTTCACAAGCTCAAGATATGAGATGATCGCCTCTGGGGTTTTGCCCATTGATCGGATGACCGAGCACAGGGAAGCTGTACAGGTTGTGGCAGATCGAGTACCTAGGTCAGTTATTGAGGATGCTTACAAAATCACTTTGCCAAAACCAAAGCCATATGAGCCACAATCCTGGCATCCCTGTGCTGCAGAAGTTTTGTGACCATATTGTGCATCTCTTGGTCAGTGGATAAGTTGCTGCAAGTGGACTGCCACATGAAACTCGAGCAGCACGCCAAATATTAAAAGATTACATCGATGGGAAGCTTCCTCACGTTGAAATGCCTCCAGATGTGTCTAATGATGAACGTCGTATAGATGATACTGTGGGCTCCAGCTCCTCAGAGGAGCTTGACTCAGATTCATCTGATGTTGATGTACTTCCAAATGATGAACATGAAGAAGCACCTAGTCTAGAGCATGTATTGGTTGATTTGAATTCATTTGACATGGATAATGAGTTAGGTTGCCACAAGACCATGGTTCAGATGAAATCCTCCGGTGGGACCCCATAAACAGCACAAGAAGCCTCAGAGAGAAAGATTGGTCGTGGAGGGTAAGAGACGGTGAAGCTGACGGAATGCTGGTTGTTAGTGTCTTCCAAAAGCCGGTAAATACAGGCACTTTGAAGGATTAATGGGCTCTTTTTATGCACGTCAGTGCCTAATAGATTGAATTTTTATGTTTTTGAGTCCCATTATTTTTTATAAAAGGGTAGTGTTGAACGTAAACATTTTGAGTTAGGGGCACAATCAAACTTGCAAAAAAGTTGTTGCCAATTTGCCAACCACAGTATTGAAGTCGGTCGATAATTCGGTCCCTTCAAAAATTATTATACCGCTGCAATTTGAAAGGAGCAATATTCGTCGTCCAATCTTGTAATGATCTAGAAATTTTTGACGTTATATTCCATGTAAAATTTCTTAATAAGATGATGTAAATTATATTGAGAAATTTATCGCGCAAAAATAATAAACATTCGATATATATACAATGTAGTTCTTGAACGAATTTCGAAATGACGTAGACGATTTATGGATTCTACTAGCGTACGATTGTTGGAGGATTTTTAAATTAGTGTGCTATCGAAATTTTTGAAATACTAATTTGGAACGGTTTATTTTGACCCGCAGTTAACGAGGTTGTGAATACTTTGAAATTGTATTAAAAATGCAATATTTCGATTTCATTTGATATCCCGCCATGTATACGGGGCTATCCATTTTTTTAAAGTCAAATAAAAGTAACACCAACAATATCATATCCTTTTGTAACCCTTTAATCTTTATGTGAAAAGTAGCAAAATCCTTAATTTATTTCTAGTGATGGCAAAAAAACCCGCCCACCCCGCCCCGGCGCTATCCCGCCCCGAATGGGGCGAAAAAAATCCTCCCCGACGAGGTGAAAAATAAAAAAAAATAATAATTAACTACAAATTAAAAACAAAAAAATAGTTAATTGGAAGTTTTTGAAAAAATAAATAAATAAACGGGGCAAGCATGAGCCCCGAACCCGCCCCGCCTCGTCTAAAGTGGGGCGGGGCACGGGGCTGGATGTGGTGGGGGAGTGGCGGGGCGAGGGTGCCCCGCCCCGAACCCGCCCCATTGCCATCTCTATTTATTTCTTAATCTCTCCTTTGAAAACAAAAAAAAAAGAGAGAGAGAACCTCAATTTTGAAAGTTGGCGGATTATGTGACCAACCAATCTACACTGTGCATCCGTTAATGTAGACGGATATTTTAACAATAAGTAGAATCTTCAGAATAATTAATATAAGAAGCCCTTGATATTTTTCTTGGTAGGTTAATTCTTGAAATGCTAATGAGACAGTGACTAAAATAGTTTGATACGATAAAGACCATATTGGTTTTTCATGCCCCAAAGGGGAGGAGTAACTAAAATTTGATATTTGCTTTTGAAGTAACTAGCATTTGTCATCTGGACTTGACACAAATTTCTCGACCCTATGGTGATATTTAAAGGCGTTTTTGCGTTTAAACTTTATCGTGATCCGGCCAAGGATGTTTGGAAAATAAAAGTGACATTCACTTGTAAAGCGTCACATTGAAAATTTGAAATTCATGTGGGATTGAAACCAGACTTCTCTTTAAGAGGATAGGTGTGAAGATTTAGGTGTGATCAATTGTAGATTAAACTTTGTATAGATGTTATGAAGATAGAATAAACTCTTTAATATGTTGGATGTCCGTACTTTATTATAATGATAAGTTATTTCTTCTAAAACAAAATGATCAAAACCTTCTCGCAATTCTTTCATCTAATTTTAGTTAGCTAAATCCCAAATTTATTTCTTACTTCATGAACATAACAAGGGTAAAGCTACATGTACACACACACTTTTACACAATCTTTTACACCCCTCTCACATGGAGGGGGGTCCACGATTATTTTATTATGTGTGGACCCCCTTCCATGTGAGAGAGGTGTAAAAGATTGTGTAAAAAATTGTGCACACTTAGCATTATTCACATAACAAGGTATGTTTTAGGGGATGGGAAATTCAGGGTTTCCATCTCTTGTCCCAAAGAATGAAAACTCGAGGCCAAAATGCTATCTCATCAAGGAGGTTAGGACATCACAACAAAAATATTCGGAACATTAATACCCCATCCTTTCCCTATAAAGACAATCATTATTGTTTTTCTATGTTTTTAGTTGTGGGCCAAAACCAAAATGACAGTTGTTCTCAATTTATATTTGACGCAATCTTTTAGAATTAAGCTAAATGAACACAATACTTGACATAGAGGTTGACCGACTTCTCACATTGCATGTGGGTCTCGATCTGAATTAAATAATGTCGACCTTCTTATGTGTGCGTGTTGTGTCATCCCATGTGTCAAGCATTATGCTTGTATAGCAAAACTCATCTTTTTAAGAACAGATTTTGTGAAAATTTATTTTTTTAAGGATGTGTAGTCGATAAATAAGAAAAAATTATACATTGAAAATGAATTTTAAAGAATTTGTAACAGAACATACTCTTGTTTGGTATCAATTAAATTTCAGATTTTAATTTAAGTTAAAGTTAATAATCAATTTTAACCATATATTATATAGGTCCCACAACTTTTCAACACACATTTCATTAATTTTTTTTCAAAATCTACTAAAAATCTGATTTTAATCCTTACCAAACAAAGCATAGTTTGTACTTTATTAGTCCCATTATAATTTTATCAACCTTCCACTAATTTTATAAAAATAAACCCAACATTTCACTAGTCAGATAGAATCAGAATTTAATCATTAGTTTTGAGGTATACGAGGTTGTTTGTCTTATAATTATAAACTATTTACTTATCTTCAAATATTTGCAGATTTCTAGAGAAATGACAACTGATGTCTGATTAGTATTAATTAATCATTATTATTTGTTAGTTACCAATTTCTTTTACATTTTTTTATTTTAATGTCAACTTTATACAGTTAGAGATAAACTATTCTTTCATTAAAAAAAAAAA